ATGGGGCAGGGCAAGGGGAAGGACGGGGAGGGGATGTGGGGCAGCCCAGGGGCAGGGCCAGGGGAGCACAGACCCCAGAGCGAGGGGAGGGGAGAGGAGGGGAGGGGATGTGGGGCAGCCCTGGGGCAGGGCTAGGGGAACACAGACCCCCAGAGCGAGGGGAGGGGATGTGGGGCAGGGCAAGGGGAGGGACGGGGAAGGGATATGGGGCAGCCCTGGGGCAGAGCCAGGGGAGCACAGACCCCAGAGCAAGAGGAGGGGAAGCCATTCGGCCCCTGGGGCAGGGCCAGGGGAGCACAGACCCCAGAGCGAGGGGATGTGGGGCAGCCCTGGGGCAGGGGAGGGGAACACAGCAGTTAGGGAGCAGGGGGGCAGGCACAGGCGAAGTCTCCGCCCAGCCCAGCCTGGTACTCACCACTAGTGGGTCCTCCGGGCGCTGCAGGCAGAGGCTGAGGAGCAGGAGCAGAGCCAGGAGCGTCAGGGCAGTGGCGAGCAAGCGCTTTGGGAAGCATCTCATGGCAGCGGGGCTCCGCGGGCAGGGGCTGGCACCTGGGGGCGTTGCCGGTTTCGGCCGGGCTCCTTCGGGGGAGAGGCAAGAGTGCATGAGGGGCACCGTTCGGAGCAGCGCTGCCCGCCTCGCCTGGGGAGCGCCTGGCCATGCAGAGGCGGCCTGCTCAGGGAGCAGGGCAGGGAGGGCTGCCGGGCAGCCAGCCAGTGTCTTGGCTCTCACAGCGCGGAGAGCCAGGGTCCCAAGCAACTCTCACCAGCTTCCGTGACAAGGGTCCGGCACAGGACACCCATAAGGGTGAGGGGCCCGGCGGGGAGCTGAGGGTGTTTGCTGGCCCTGCAGGGGCCAGGAAGAAACCGTCACAAACAGACTGAACTCCTAGCCAGGGAGCGGCCCCTGACTGAATAAACTTGGGATCTGCCATACTAAGTTATGTCACATGACATTGTCATAGAAATTTCTGTCCGTTCCAGCTGAGGAATAAGGAGAGACGGACACAACTAGCTAAGCAAGGAGCCCCGGGAGGGGCGATCCGTTTATTTCAATTGCAATTGGGTTCGAGCTCATAAGTCAGCAAGAACAAAGAAAACACTTACACCAAAGCATTATATGCAGTTGCTTATGATAATTTATCGCTCTATGATTGGCTAAAATTTGCCATTATTACCATACATAATTAGCAAGTTACATGTATCTGCCCCTCTTATGACCTCTTATTGTTTATTTATTTGCCCCCTCCTCCTTGCTTATTTTGCAAACCAAGCGGTTAGCTATCTACAGGACGCAGGCACAGGAAGTTCCATTATCTCCAGGTTTGGAGTTTGGCGACATTTCCTCTCGAAGGAACTTCCTGAGTTAAGACATAGCTATAGCTGTGCTGTATAGCTTCCATGTGTACGTGACAAATTTGCCCCCTGGCAGTTAAGTAGAATAATTTTATATCAACATGAGCTCCTTTGACTTATTTGTCAAATGGACAGGCTAATACTTGGCTGCCTTCTAGGGCTGGGGGAGGAGGGCTGCAAAGCACCTGAGCATATAAACAGCACTCAGGACAGGTGGGTGCACCCCCACTGTCTATAGCATATTTGAAAGGAGAGGTGCTGTCGCCCCCCACCCCCCAATTCCAATTGTGAGATGTCCCACAAAACCCAGTACACTGCAGAGCTCTGGGGCGGTGCGACCTCCAGATCCGCTCATTGCACTGAGCGCTGGAAGATCTGCAGGCACAGATCCATTTGTACGGTGCACAGCAGCTCATGGGTCCTGCCAGAAAAATAAAGCTACTAGTCCAGGGGGCTGCACCCGAAGTTCACGAGGAAACATCAGCTACTGCAGAACATGCCTGTCGACACAGGTGAAAGGAGCACACCCTAGGGTGGCTCTGACCTCCTGGCTTCCTAGGTGCAATACACAATATTTGTTTTGCACTGTAAAGCCTTTGATGATTTGGCTGTTGTAGTACCTTGGCTCTCTTCTCAAGTGATACCTGGACATTTGAGAGCCGGGGGTGCGACTTGTGCTACCAGCACCCAGCTGTGCAGCACCCTCAGGCGCAGCCTGTTACCTGCAGCAGGAATCTGGCATGAAAAGCAAGGGCAGATTTGGGGCGAGGAGAGGCAGCTGCACAATGTCAGACATGTCTCAACACCTCTCCGACCACTTAGAATCCCAGCCCAGGTACGAGCACGTGGACGCACCAGGCACTGGACCCTAGACCCAGTCTTCAGGTGTTAAAGGATATGAATGGCAGGGTCTTGCTCACAGCACTTGATGGTCATCAGTAAATAGGAACCCCAAACTGCTCAGCACATGAATCCAGCCAGCCCAGGCTCCTGGCACCAGCTGCTCCAGAGGAAGGTGCAAGAAATCCCCTAATGAGCAATTACGGACAAACCTGCCCACAGAAGTTTCGCCCTGACCCCAGTCAGGTGCTAGTGGGTAGCAGGAGGGTTTATTAGTCCTCTCTAGGACCCTTTTACCTTGGGAGGATGGGCAGGGCCCGCAATCAACACTTGCTAAGTCACTGATTGTAAATGTTACGGAATTGTTCAGCCAATGATGCAGATGCCCTCGAAACACATTACAGCCCTTCACCCTGCCCTTTCTAATACCTGCTGGCTGCTACCGAGGCTGAGACATGTGCGATGGGATGAAGGAAACTGCCTCCACGGGCCTTGGGTACCACCAGCATGAGACGTGGGCAAGTGGTCTCACTGCAGCATCATTCTATTCATTTTAAGCGCACTCCTCCCTGTGCCTGGTACAGGAATAGCCCCCCCTTTCTTTTCGATAGCCTCTGTAGGGATGGCTATCCCACAGCCAGAGGGGCAACTGCGGCTCCTATAGACATCCCCCAGCTAGCTTGGGTCTGGCTAGCTTGAAAGCAATAGCTGTGAAGCCCCGACAGCTTGGGGCTAGCTCGCTTGCTCCGGTATCGCGACCCATGCCACAGTCACACCTCTGCCTGCAGTGGGCTACCTCGCCAGCCCAGGAAGGACGGATACCACACCAGAGCCTGTTTCAGGCCCGTCCCTCAAGGCATCATTTATTGATTAACCAGGAACTTAGGCAAAATCCCCAAATAAGGTACTGCCTCTGCCCGGCACCAGCTCCTACAAGCTCTTCCCTCACCCAGTGCACAGAGCCAGGGACTCCCATAGGAACCTTTCTACTTCCTGCAGCTCTCACCCCGAACCTGTGTACTGGGGAGTCACCTGACAGCTGGGTTCTTTCCCTGACCACAGCAATTCCTGCAAGCATCAGGCTCCCAGCCACTCTCAACTGAGCTCTTGCCGGCCTTTATAAAGACCAGGTGCTTTTCAAGCTATCACCTGATGCCCTGGCCCCACAGCCTGTGAGGATTAGTCACAGGTGGGCTGGGCCCATCTCCCCTTAAAGGGGCCAGGCATGCTATGACACCTATCTAAAGAGTTCTGGAGGCGCCAGTCATGGATCCATAGTTAAAGCTGACTGAATTGTGTTCTTAAAGCAAGGATTCAACTTGTTCATTATGTCTAGAGAACACAGCCTATCCCCTCTAAATTACAGCCCTCACTCCAAGCGGAGGCCGAATTCTGCAAGAATTTACAAATCAATCTATTAGTTTAGGAGTGAAAATGGATTTAAAATTGGGCCTTTAGAAAGTTAGCATTCGGCATCAGGTTTTTTGTTGGTTTTTTTTTTTTTTTTTTTGGTCCTTTTTGATCTCAGTTTAGCCATTGTCTATCTAGGCAAAAATTGGCAGGGAGATGAATCTGGACCCGATCCGGTGCAAAGACTAGCTTTTGAAAAGAAATATGTAGGATTTCAGACTGGAGAAAAGGCGTAAATTGTTAACCATGACAGCAATTAACCATGGGAACAAGTTACCAGGTGGATTCCCCATCATTGACAATTTCTTAAATCAAGATGGGATGTCTTCAGAGAAACTCACTAAAAATTGCCCGTTGGCAAAACGGCCACTGTCTGCCATTGTCCTCCATTCACGGCCTGCCCTGGAGGCAATACGGTTGAGAGCAGTGGGGGAGAGCTGCCATTTTGACAAAGGGCAATTCTTTGGGGGCTTCTCAGAGGGAGAAGATTCCCTGTGCCAGCCTCTGCTGATGTGAATGTTCAGTTCTGAAAAATAAGGGCAGAGAATTACCACTAATCCTGCTCTCCAGATCTATCCAATAGGGTGGGTAGGGGAGAAGGGAAACTGGTGTACATGCATGGGAGGTGGGTGTTGATCATAGAATACCAGGGTTGGAAGAGACCTCCGGAAGTCATCTAGTCTAACCCCCTGCTCAAAGCAGGACCAATCCCCAGACAGATTTTTGCCCCAGATACCTAAATGGCCTCCTCAAGGATTGAGCTCACAACCCTGGGTTTAGCAGGCCAATGCTCAAACCACTGAGCTATCCCTCCCCTCATCCCACTATTTTGTGCTGATCTGGGGGTGCAAGTTTATAAGACACGGTTGGCTCAGTCATCGGAATCCTACCTCCAGCCCAGGACTCCTGCGATGAGAGGGGATCTCTCTGGAGCTGGAGGCCGGTGGGACCTATAGTGACGTTATTGAAATCCTGTGTTGCTCGCAGGATGACGTACTGCAAAAAAACTGCAAAAGGACACCCGGGCCTCATAAAATGTTGGGCTTGAATGTCCATGCGGGGGCGCACCCCAGCGCAAGACTTAAGTGCAAGAGAGCCCCATCAGGTTCTCGCAGCATGACCTGAAAGAGAACTCCAAGCACGTCCCCTGCCTACATCGTCTGTAACTGCTCCACTAGTCCATGATCTGCGGGTGCTCCACACCTCTGGAAATCAGGTCAAGGGGTCTCAAAGCAGGTGCCCACAATAGCTGCCCCATTTCACAAACATTGGCCTGACGTTCAGCTAGTCATTGGAGAAAAATCGAGACCCTTAACAAGATGCCAATACTGCTAAGCCTGCCCGGAGAGCCGTGCCGGAGGAAACCAACCAATGACATCTCCGGTTGACTGGTGCCCTGTTTTCAGACAGGAAACAACCCACTGCTCGTATTCAGGGGAGGGATCCTGCTCCTGTGGACCAAGGTGTGACACCACAGCTCTCAACGCCCCTTTGCTCACGCACTCCTGCACAAGAACGCAGACGGCCGGTTACCACACACTGACAAGGTGCTGAAAACTACATTCTTACAGAGAGGACGCAGTGGTGGGAAAAAGTCTAATGCACTAAGTAAATTCAGGAGTCAGTTGCTGCATCTGCCTCTTTGTCCACTTAATCACAGATCCTGGGCCAGGCTCAACAGGCTGCCTCTGCCCTGGCCTGGTTTCCTCTCCACGCAGGGACTGTGGGGCAGCGTTGCAGATCATAACTCATGTGGTAGAAGCCTGCCCAGTTCCATAGCTGGAGGGCAGTTTGCAATTCCTGGCCTCCCTTGATCCACAGGCTAGCCTCTGGTTACGGAACCTAGGCATTGCACCTGGACGTCTGCATGCAAGAGAAAGGAGTATCACACCTACCTTGCTCTCCGTTCTCTGGCCAAGTAACTTCCCTTCCAGTGGGGGCCAGGAACATGCAGACAGTCAGGACAAAGACGAGGCTGGGAACCTGAAATTCAGGTTCAGCTAACAAGTCAGGTGTCTCAAACATGCATCTTTTTACAAACATCTCCTGAACTTCTTGTTTAGTGACAAACAAAGGGCTGGCAGGCCAGGGGTGGATATACAGACAGCAGTGCCTGAGTAGAGCCCTCTCCACCCGCCCCACAAGGAATTCCCTGCATCAGCAAAACCACGCTCTCCTAGAGGGCCAGGCCTAGCTAGGGGACACACAGGGATGCTTCGAAGGGGTCTGCGGGGCTAACTGGGGCTCTTCCCTGCACTCCAGGATCCCTGATTCTACCTCCATCACAGCTGTAGTTCTCCGGACTGATAAAAGGGAGTGTGATGATGTTACACAATGTTCATATATTATTGAAAGGTCTGGGCAGGAAAGGCTCCTTGCATTATGCTCTCAGCCCTGCCTGCTGGTATTTGCTGCAGGGCCAGGCTGTAATAGTCCATAGCACTTAGAGCATTAGGGAATGAACCCTCCCAGCAGGACTATCCTCTATGGGGGCAGGGGAGAAACCGAGGCACAGGAAAGTTGGAGAGGATGACCTCGATGGAGTGAGACAGGGTTTTTCTATTAGGAATTCTGGCCTGGTCCACCCTGGAAGACATTCTAGGTGACAAGGGAGCTGGCGGGGTTGTGACATCACGGGTACCAAGGAAGTGATGTCTGCTGAGACAGGAACAGAAGGGATTTTTACCCAGACTGTTTAAAGTTCGTTGGTTTGTTTCTGTCAGCAGTGTGGCCTAGTGGCCAGAGCTCTGGGCTGAGACTTGGGGAGACCTGAGTTTTATTCCTAGTTCTGCCATTGGGCCGCTGGGTGACCCTGGGCAAATCACATTGCTGCTCTGTGCCTCAGTTTATAGAATCATAGAATCATAGAATCATAGAA